AAAAAAAGTAAAAGAAGTGGTTTTTTTGTACTGAAACTTTAAAAATATTCCCATCACAACTCTCTTCCACCATTGTGGATGATTAAGAGTTGACTAGATACTAATAGACACAACTTTTCTCAGTTGCTTAGAGGGTTTCTTATTTAATATTAACTCCTTTTATTACATTACTAAGAAATAGATGTAGCAGCCTCTGTTCTGTACAAAGTAGAGTGCCTAAATGATGATTTAAGTTATTTTTTATCAAATACCTTTGTGTTTTTATCTGAGATTCAGAGTTCTCAAACTGGACTTTATGTATTCTTCTAGTGCCTTCAGAATACTATTAGAATCTGATGAAGATAGACTTCTTGTTGTATTTAATCGAGGGTTGGTCCTGATGACTGAGGTAAATATATTACTGCATTTTACTGTAGATTTATCACATTTTAATATCCTTCCAAGACTTCTTGTTTTGTGGCTATTTAGAATTTCTGGTAGACTGCTAAACAGCTGTCTGGATTTTAATTCTACAGATCGGTAAGTGCTAATTTATATTCCAGGAAAAACAAGGCCACAGTTTTTAGGTTACTTTTTTCTTTGTTCATCTTAATTCTATACTTTGTCTTATTTTGTATTTAGAACAGCCACTTTAAAATAGCCTACTTGTAATTATTTCATTTGTAAGGATAGAAATGGAGAAGAAACTCATAGATTTAATCAAAGACACAATTTCTCAGGAGCTCACTTATTAGAGTTACAGAAACTGAGATTAGCAGCATTAGAGGAAGCCATTGATACTATTACAGTGCTTAAAATCAGCCATTCATTCTTCCCATAATCTTGAATACCCACAACTGTGAGATGATTTTAAGACCCAGAGGTGCATCATACTTCTTGGTCAAGTAATAGAGACAAAAGAATACATGCCAAGAGTACCATGAGATGGTTTTTTCAGCTAATAGTATTACAGAATAAGAAAACATGTTTGCAACTGACTTCAAAGAATTTGGACTTGTGAAGAAAAATGGGATAATATTTAGATAAATGACTTAATCAGCACAGAGGCAATAAATAATACATTAAGTGTATTTGGGAAATGCCAAGTATTTCTGTTTGGCTAAAACAAAGCCATGTGAAAAGGAGTGGGGAGAATTTCACTCTTTCATTCAGCAAATGTTTGAATGCCTACTCCATGCCACACATTGTGGTGGCCACTAGGGATACAGCAGTGAACAAGACAGACATGGTTCCTGTCCTCACAGCTTACAGGTTAAATGCTGCCTGAGTACATTGTTCAGATTATGTACTGCCACACACTGTGGGCTACAAATTTTGAAGTATATAGGCTGGGGGAACTGACATGAGAGAATTAGAAAAATGTTTTGCTGTAAAATGCAATAGGAAAAAAACTGTTTAAGCTAATACTTAATTAAAGGAATTAAAAGACTTTAACAAGCCTATATGATTAAAAGAACTCCTACCTTTTGGACCTACTCTTAACCTCACTTCAGACCTACTCTTTTGCTTATGGCTGACAGCTATTTCAGAAGCCCCAGAAAGTTAAAGCAGTTTTCCCCTATCTTCCTGTTGTTGCCTGCTGCTCTGTAATCTCTAAGGCCTGCAGTCTTAGAGTAAACAGTAATCCAAAAAAAATACCATTAATCAAATTATTCCTTCAGACTAAAATGTATATACAAAATAACAGAGCTCTGAAGGTGAGGACTATTTTTATATTTTCAAAGGGCTGCTTGATAGAATGTGACTTTTGGATAGAAAGCAAATTTGCTTTGTTTACATATGCCCAAACATAGTCTGAGTCTGAAAACATCTGTCATAAAGGATGAACCCTACCACTTTGTGGCTCAATCAAGTAAAATGAAATTTTTCATTTTTTAAAAATCACTTGCAGTCTTTCAACACACTGCACATGATGTATCATGAAGCCACAGCTTGCCATGTGACTGGAGACTTAGTAGAACTTCTATCAATATTTCTTTCAGTTTTGAAGTCTACACGCCCATATCTTCAGAGAAAAGGTTTGGTCATTCTTCTTATTTTTGTTAGTTTCAGCGATTAAAGAGCGAAGGCTTTTAAATGGCATGCTTCAGAGAATGTCTTTATCTCTAGTTTTTATGTACAAAAGATGGGGCCAATGCTAGCTAACCATCAGGAGGCGTTCATCATGACTTCCTGTTATAAAGCTGGAATAATGCTCTTGTTTATTTTCTTTATGCCTGCCTGAAAAATGGGCAAGCATGCCGTAAGTGTCAAGATTTAGGAGATTAGAAAAGTGAAGGTCTCCAGCAGGAAACTTCTATGGCTTAGGTTAGATCATTTTTAGTTTCAAAAGAAGTAACTATAAAACATCTCTCTTGCATCCCTGTAAGTTAGTGTGAACTGTGAACTTCATACACATTCCTAGAAAATAGGACATACTCATTATTAAAATATGTTCTTTAAGAAATCTAGCAAGTTTAATAGTAGTAGTCATCTCATGAAAATAATCACTTAGCTTTCACCAAAACTGTTTATGTAATTAATTTGAATTCCTTTGTGTTAGCCTCCATAGTTTATAGATTATAATAAAAAATAATTGTGAAGACATTTAATCTCAAATGGCATATTTATGTATGCTTTTTATATTTACAGATGTGAAACAAGCATTAATTCAGTGGCAGGAGCGAATTGAATTTGCTCATAAACTGTTAACTCTTCTGAATTCCTATAGCCCTCCAGAACTTAGAAATGCCTGTATAGGTAAGATATTTCAGAAATATCCCTGTTAAATACCTAGTGGAAGAACATTTCTGTGGGATTTTTTCTTTGTAAGATGTTCTGTAGAGTTTGGAAGACATTTATACTTTTTAAGTGTAATTCACACTGGCCAGCAGGTCCTAAGAAAATTGGTTATTTATTAACATGCCAATAATTACCTCTGTGATCATGAGTATGTCACTTAATATATCTGGATTCTTTGACCTTAGATTATATCTCTTGCAGTTCTGAAAACTTCTGACCCTATATACAAGATAGAACTACGCATATGTTTACAAAGCAGATCTGACATTGTAAAGGGTTGTGATTATTTCACTGTGAGTTCTTTACCTAAAGACACTTGGTAGTAGCTGTTCTTAGACTCCCGAATATTTTTATTGATTGCATATTTATAGTAAAGTAACCATTTTTGCCTGTTGAAGGACCCCTGTTTTTAAACTTACATTGAATTTTTTACTTACCTTACAAGCCATTTTAATTATTTGCGCAAATAATTTCTCAGAATGGCCTGAATAACTGGCTAACCGGTGTAAGCAGTCAGTCTTGGCAGGTTTTGACCTCATGTTCTGTACAATTACTGGCTTCTGTATATATTTCTCCAGTAAGAAGAGAAGGGCACATAGCAATAACTTCTGATTGCCAGTAGCCTGTATTCATGAGCTTTTCTCCTGTGTGATTAGAAGATGAGAATTAGTTCAGCCAGCATCATGAAACATTAAAAGTAGATTATCATCCCTCAGATCCAAAGAACTTGGATCTTTAGATTTCTTTCTAAGCTGCTATCGTTGATTTTATGAAGACACATAATCAACATGCATTATGTATTTCCTATAGTGTACTTCTTTATGATACTTATATTAGATAAATAAAATACAAATAGTTTTAAATTTTGGTCTCTAAATGATGGCCCTATTTTAGTAAGTAACTCTGATAATCCAGATGTAATTGAGCATCAAACAGAATTTCTCCCAGTGTCAGGAGCTACAACGGTTTTAGACTCACTAAAACCTTTCAGCTGCCACACTACAACCAGTTACCCCAACAGGGTTTGTGTTTGAAAGTAGCAGGTAGATATACTCTAGTTCTTTAATACCAAATTGTGTTTTTGTTTTCAGATGTCCTCAAAGAACTTGTGCTTTTGAGTCCCCATGACTTTCTTCACACTCTGGTTCCATTTCTGCAACACAACCATTGTACTTACCATCACAGTAATATACCAAGTATGTATTCATCTAGCACAGTACTTGAATATGGCTGGCATTTAATCTTTCTGCACACTGAAACATGGAGATTTATTTTTTTCCATTTATTCTTATTGTACACTTTTAATGTCTTAGTGTCTCTTGGACCTTATTTCCCTTGTCGAGAAAATATCAAGCTAATAGGAGGGAAAAGCAATATTCGGCCTCCGCGCCCTGAACTCAATATGTGCCTCTTGCCCACAATGGTGGAAACCAGTAAGGTATGTTGGGATGCCAGGAAAATCATGTTTCTGTAGTACAGTAATTTCCCCTCTAGCAGATAGGAATATATTAGATTTAAATGACCATTTTGTGGCTCCTAAGATTAGACTCATTTGGACTTTTTCCTTTTAGTGCTCTGAAATGTTGGTTGAATATTTACAAAATCAACACTAAGCACAAGTAGTAAGTTTTTTTTCCCCTCAAAAAAATATCCTAATAGAAGGCCTTATTAATATTTGTCACTAGGCTAAATTACAACTGGGTCATACATCTAAACCTGAAAAGTCAAGTTAGGTACTTACTATTGTTTAAATTTGGCCATAGATTCAATAATGACTTTATTGTTCTTTCATTATAATCCTTTGACCTAAGCCTAACATAACTGATTGATAGATTTATCATCATTTGTAATCTGATTATTGTCCTCTAACACTTATTCTAAAATAATGCTAATTCTAAATTACAGAGAGAAGGTACATTGACATAGGATAATTTATCTTAGTTTCACCATTTTTTAAACAATTTTTCCCCTTTATCTTTCTTCATCCCACTTCATTGACACTCTTACTTGCCCACACCACTTATCTTTGGATCTTAAATATACTCAAGAAGTTCTTTAAAAATATTAAAGATAATTAACACTGCAGTAACCACTATAGAATAAATTGAAATCTTTTTTAAAAAATCAGATTTAATCCACTCTTCTTGAAATGTCTGTAGAGTTACAGTGTCACATTTTAAAATTCTCCAGTAATTTTTATTAATGTCTATAGAAATAATGGGTAATTTTAATTGATAGCATTTGCACACTGAAAATAAACTTGTGACAATTAAGATCTTAATACCATGACTAGAAACTTGGAATTTAAAGCTAGGTTCTTATAGAATTTAAATATTTAATCAGATTTTTAGTTAAATTTATTACATTTGCACAAAATATGCTCTTTAATTTATTATACAATTTAAGTGCAACCATTTTATCATCTTTAACCTTCAGGGCAAAGATGACGTTTATGATCGTATGCTGCTAGACTACTTCTTTTCTTATCATCAATTCATCCATCTATTATGCCGAGTTGCAATCAACTGTGAAAAATTTACTGAAACATTAGTTAAGCTGAGTAAGTATAAAAGATGAGCAGTAAATTCCACTGAATTATTTTAAGCCCCTAGCCATTCAGGAAGGGGAGGAAAAAAAATGAGACAATCTTTTTTTTATTTTTTAAAGTGACTGTTTAAAAATATAATTATTCTTGGGAACATTTTTATTTTTATTAACAAAACACCAACTTACTGGTTTCCATTGAATAGTTCTGCCCACAGTTTCAGCTGGCCTTATAAAGGAGTGTGGAGTAGGGCTGGTCACTTTTGTACATAGAAGCCCAAGTCCTCCTCCATCTGCCCAGCAGAATTAAAAAAAAAAAACTGCTCTGTTTAGGGAGGCAGGCTTAGAGATGGACTTCCCCAGCTCTGATAGTGAAGATAAGATGAGATCTATAGTGCCAGCTGTGCTTTGAAGCTGGCAATGCAAAGGCAAGCTAAGTGGGCTTGCCAGAGTGAAGCAGAGGTGCATATATGAGTAAATTAGGAGGTAAGTTTCATAAAGTGGAAAGGTGAGAATAAGGGAAATTTAAAAAAGAAGATAGGAGAAATAGAAAACCATTAGTGGATTATGAAGGAGGACAAAACTCCAATTACTTAATAGTAATATTGTCTCTCCAAGAATGTACCTGAGACCTGTTAGAGAACTGCTCCCTTTGGGTGACTTTCTCTAGCTGAAAAGTCTTTAGAAGACATGGAGCCCTTCTCCAAATGACCCCTATCTCAGGACCTCCAGAGTTCCCAGGCTCTGGGTACAGTGAGTGTCAACTTTAGGGATGGCCCAGCATCCCTCCAGTGTCCTGGAGTTTTGTTTCAGAGCATGGGAAGTGAACTACTCACGGAACCACCACCCAGGTCAAGAAATAGAATATTATCACACTCTAGAAATCCCCATGTCCCTCTCCGTCACAACCCTTTCCTTCCTATGGAAAGAGTTTTGATCCATTACAGGTAGGGCAAAAGATGTGAACTTATCTTAGGTTTCATTATCCAAGAAGAATACTAAAGTGTTAACATCTGTCAGGGATAATTCCTCTTCAGAAAACTATCTTGTTGGTAAGTTATTAGTGTCTTAAGATTTGAAAGGTTGTTCTACCTGTTATCATTAGCTGGTTTTATAGATATATATGTGGCTGAAGTGCCAAGATGGAGAAATGATATGTCACCATTTCATGATGACACAGTTGGGTCATGGCATTTGGTAAAAAGCTCTAAAACCTAGAAATCATCTGGTGTGAGCAAATACCCAGGAATTCTAGTAACACAGCCTTGCTCCCAAATAAGGCAAGGGACTCACAAAGATGCTGACCTTAAGAAAAGTTCTTGGTAACTAGGTACTTAAGATTTAGATGAAAGTTATATGAGGAGCTATATTAGCCACTTGAAAAGCTCTGACTCTTTATTCAAATAATGAATTTTATACCCTGTTTAGGACTGTCTTCCTCATCAACCCAAATATACAGTTTTGGGGAAATTACAGTTGGAGGGGAAAGAGGGAAGGGATATATGCCTAGCCATCCATGTTAGCTGAATCAGCTTCCATAGTATGTACTTGTGTCACTCTTAAACCATGAGCACTGTTGGGGCTTCCTCATAGCATTTAGCTCCTTACATAAGCACTAGCCCATAGAACTTAATATGAAGATGGGAATATTATCCAACTGCATCACCAGTCTCAGTATGTATGCAGGTGAGTGTTGGGAACTTAAAATGTGCCTAAGCAAAGAATCTTTTACTTAATTTTGACCAAATAAAATAAAATAACACAATGTAGCTGGTGGCTACCATATTGAGTAGCACAGCTCTAGATATAAACTGACAAATTGAGTAGGAAAATAAACACTTATTGAAGAAAATAGATATATCTTAGTTATGCAGAAAACTGGATATTATTTTGGATATGAAGTAAGATAAACACCTAAAAACAGTGCTTTACACCTCTTATATATGGAAAGGTTGTGTCCTGGTGTCTGAAGTTAACTCTCTATTCCAGCTGAAATGACTGTTTCCAGAGAGAGGCACATAGGAAAGGGCTTGAGAAAGCAAAGCCCCCATGAATGACTGCAGTGGGGAACAGAATGCTGACAAGGAGTCTTAATTTACATAATTTCTTGAAGAAATTTTATTTGGCAACAAGAGAAGTATAAGTTTAAATTGGTTCTGTCCTTAATCATTTGAGCCTTGCAGTTAGATGGCCTTAGGGCCAAAATATGGTGACCATGGGTGGGACTTGTCTTAAGACTTATATTGGATTGTAAGTCATTTCCAGTTTTAAGGAAGTCTTTGTGGTAATTTTTATATGGGCAACTGACCAGATTTTAAGATTTGTTGGGTAAAAAGGAATTATGTAGTAATTGTCAATTAGAATTGCAGGAGCTAGAGTTGCAGTGCTAAATAGGAAACAGGGAGGATTGGGGTGCTTTTGAAGTGAGGTCAGCCAAGCGTGGGGTTAGGGGAGAAAGAAACAGGGAAGAAATTCAGGGAGGGTGAACAAAGTGAAAAACTGTGTCTGAAACCCAGTATTCTGATACTTAAAAATAATAAGAGTTTAGCCAGAAATATTCTGAAAAGAGTAATAATGAGGAACTGGCCCTATTGATTTATAAAATATTTACTAAAGACACAGTAATTTTTTATCATATTGTTTAGTATTTAATACATACAGTTCATAATTCAAAACATCAAAAAGGTACACATCACCTTATCACTCACAGGCTTTCCCCCAATTTTTATTATTAGTTTTCTGCAAAAAAAACAGCAAATACAGGTGTATTTTGTCCCCTTTTTTATATAAAAGTAAATGATAATGATTAAAACTGTGTAATGCAGATACAGAAATTCATAGGCAGAGCAGTGGGGGAAAAGCCCAAAAATAAACATAAGAGATAAATGAGGATTTGGTAGATAATAAAGGTGACATCAGACTTGTGGGAAATGGCCAGTATTGAGAGAATTGGTTAGCCCTCTGAGTCAGAGAGGAGGAGGAGTAAGACTTCAATACCTACTTCATTCCTTAGATCAAAATACATTCCAGGTGGATTAAAGATTCAACTGTGAAAAATAAATTGTAGGAATATTAAAAAAAACATACTGTCTTAGAGATACCACCTTGTTATTTGACAGACCATGTTAAGTAGGACACAAAACTCCAAAACAGTCAAATAAGAAATTGAAAATACTGACTGCATAAAAATTGAAAATAAATGTGAGAGAAGGCCGTACTTTAAAATGCAAACAGCTAATGGGAAAAATATTTGCATTTTTAGCAGATAAATAGCTAGTATTGCCAATATGCAAAAACTTTTAATGATTCAGTAAATGGTAAAGAACATTAAGTAAAATACACAAAGGACATGAGGCAATTCACTGTAAAAAAGTGAATATTTGGTAGCTGTATGAGCACTTGCCAAGCCTTACTAATAAAGAAAGCAAAAATTATTTTCTTTCTTTTTTTTCCCCTAACTGTGAGATAAAATTTAGATGATAAGCATGCTTACACAGTTTGGTCAAAGAAGAGATCTTATAATGGAGTCAGTTTTGAGAAATAATTTGGCATTCTCAATTTAGATTGTATCAGATAAAGGAATCTACCTTACTCAACTCATAAAAATGTACAACAGCTTACATAGGATGCTTATTTTCACTTGGTTTGTATTTGGTAAAAACTGGAAACAGCCCAAATGTCCATCAAAACAGGAGCTTAAATAAACCATAGTTCATCTGTATTAGCCTTTATAACAAAAGATAGAAATAACCTTAGATTACATGAAAAAAGCAAATTAGAAAACATTACGCAGAATATGACTACGTTCTTACAAACGAGAAAAAAATTGGTATGTGCAAAAAATATATACATAATTCATAAGGATAAAATTATGGGATACTTTAATTCTCTATTAAATGTCTATAAGGTTTAAATTATTTGAATGATCATACATTGGTTTTGTATTTGGGAGGAAAACACAACTCTTAAAAAGTATATAGAATAGTACTGCAAACTCTACAACATTTTTTTAGGTACCACAGTTCACATGCAAAATTAACAATGAGATGCTCAAGTAAAATTAAACTAAAGAGCAAATGCCTAGATTTCATCATTTAAATAATGTTCTCAGGGACAAAACAAGAATTTTTCTCACCTTTATTATTTAACATTGTTTTTGAAGGTTTCCTTAATGCATTAATAAATGAAAGATAAATCAGTTTTTTGCAAGTAACATTGTGATGGACTTAGAAAATCCAAAATCTCTAGAATTAAAAAACTAGTATAGTTAATAAATAGAGGAAAACTTAAATTACAGAAAGTATAGTTCTGGTTTCAATCTTTACCTTTTGGTTATGTCAAGGTGGTACTGATTGAAAAAACTGAGTAGCTCTTCCCCAAAAGGCTTCTTACGGTGAATATGCTTCACTCCAGTCACTGAGTGTATATCACATGCCAGCTTTTACCAGTCCACCAAGGGCAAATCCATTTATCTAATACACAGTAATTACATTTAATAGACATTTATAATTCAGCAGTGGGTTACCAGTTTGCTAATTTAGAAAGATGAAGAACTGACACATGGATCTGAATATTCCATGGTAGGGCCAGTAGATTTTTTACCCAGTAACCTACAAGAGAAGCTGAATAAATAACAGTAGGTTGCTTTTAGTGGGTAGAAAGTCACAATAAGTGGAATTAGAAGAATCAAATGTGTGATATAGGCTGTGAGGTCTTGATGATTCCATTTGAAGTGAAGCATTAGTTGTTGATTTTCATCCTTCGGCTAAAGCTATCACTTTCCATTGATAATGTTTGGATGGGGTAAACACTTCATAGAAAACTAGACAAAGAATCATAACACAATTCAGATATGAGAAACCCTAACTCATAAATATATATATGAAATATTTCATTCTCACAGCAGTCATCTGAATTACCATTGTACCTATAAAATGGTAAAAATGTTATTTAAAAATTTTTTTCTTTTAATAACACACTCAGCAGCTTCTACAGTATGAGGTGGTCTAATGAGGAAAGATGTTAGGAACAGTTTTTGATTATGGTGTATTAGTTCCTTCATAGTTGGGTATGGGGTCAGGTGAGGACCCTACTGAGGATACACCTGAAGTCCCAGGATGAAGAAAGATAAGTGGTACAGAAGCCAGTATATTCTAGACCTGCCTGTCCTGTTTACTGAGATAAGGCTTGGACATGTGCCTTAGAATTTGGTGAGTGCCATCTCCCTGTGCTTTGTACCCAATCAGTAAGACACCCCAGAAGGTACTGGAGAAGTGTGTGGAGAAGGGTGGCATTGGCCTCTGCCTGAGTCACAGAGCCAAGCTGTTCCTGATCATGAGTGCTTTGTGAAAATGCTAGAAAGAAACTAAAATTCTGTTGCTCTGAAGGGGTGGTCTTGCAAAGGAGAGGTGCAGCTCAGAGAAGAAATAATAGTACTGTGAAAAACGTGTCTTTAGCTCACCATAGTTGACAGTGTTTTCCAGAGCATAGTGTTCAAGCTGGCCCAGGGAGAGTAATTTTTCTATTGGTAAATATGTATGCATCTTACTGTATGACAAATATGTAACTGGACACCAAATCCATGATGTCCTAGATGTTGCAGTGCCTAAAAAAAACCCTAACGTGTATTAGCCTAAGTGAATCTAAAGAACAGTATTGAGTAGAATAGGTATGGACAGATATGAAAACAGTCATGAAAGTGATGTATGAATGACTGAAGTTTGGGGAAACACTGATTACTGAAAAGATTTATGGACTTTAGAATCGGATAAATCTGGGGTAGATGCAACTGTATCACTCACTGGCTAAGGGGATGAACCTGAGCTGAGATACTCCATATTCTCTCTGAGCCTAATGTCCTCATCCAAAAAGCAGAGAGTGAGATGAGGATAAAGTAATTCCTTCTAAAGTTGATGAGAATTAAATGTGGTGATCTGACATTACTTAGCACAATAGATGCCAGTCGGTGTTTATTTCCTCCTTCACTTACCAAATAGAGGTATTTATTATATCAGGATATTACTCTGAGGTGATCTTAGATCACAAAAGGCCTCCCAAGTTTTTTGTGTTGTGGTAGTGCTGGCTTTTCCATAGTTGGGGAAAATAGGAACAAAGAATGTTTTATTTTGAGAAATAATTGGGGAAAAAGAATACAAGATTAGGGAAACAAATGACAGTATATAATTTTATACTTCTACCTGAGGCTTACAGCAAGGCAGCTTCTATTCAGAGGTTGGCAGATTTTCTGCACAGAGTAGACTTTGCAGGCCATTATGGTCTCTGTCGAATATTCTTTGTTTGGCTGTTTTTTTACAGTCCTTTAAAAATTTAAAAGCCCTTTCTTAGCTCACATGGCCACACAAAAATAGGCTGTGGGCCAGATTGGGCCCATGGGCCAGTTCGCCAACCCCTGCTCTTTTATGGGTAATTGCCATGCCAGAGACATGGGAGCATAGAAACTTTCTTCCCTGTCAGCAATTTTGATGACATGCCCTTGTTTGTTTCCACGTGTTAGGATGTTTTATTAGGTAAATGCCTCTAACCCAACAAGATTAGGTTAGAATAAAGAAGAAGGATTAGAGTTTCCTTGAGTGTATTTCTAGAAAGGGACTGATCTTGACAGGAAATTAAATAGGCTTACGTACAAAAGTGAGTCTAGGGATCCTTAAAGAAGAGAGCTGACTTGTCTAGATTTTCTCAAACCCTTCATATAACCCAGAGGCTGGCAAGCAGTAGTCTGCATGCTGCCTGTTTTTGTATGACCAGTGAACTACCTGCAAGCTAAGAAGGGTTTTTACATTTTTAGTTTCAAGTTTCAGTGTTCCTGAATAAAGTTTTATTGAAAGACAGCCACACACATTCATGTGGTGGTGTCTGTGGCTGCTTTCACACTACTTCTGCAGAGTTGAGTTGTTGCAACAAAGCTTATATGGCCACAAAGACCAAAATTACTATTTGGCCCTTTATAGACAGTTGGCCAACTTCAGGTCTAACTCATAATTTTTTCTTAACTGGAGAATAGTTTTATCATATTTCACCTTCTCCATGATTATGCTGCCCTTGGAGGTGGGATTCTGGAGGATGATGAATTTATGTATGACTGTTACATTGCACTTTGCATGCTTTGAGAGGTAGGAGGGCAGAGGGTAGGGAACTCCTTAAAGGTATACATGACATCTGGGATAGTCATCAAGAAGAGGAAGGTTAAAACCCTAGCGGTGCCAAATAGGATGCTGACATACAGTGAAGTATGGTCCACCCAAAAGATGCTGGGGACAAGGCTTTAAGCTGTCAGAGCAGTGTTCACCAAAGTCTACCATAAAGATAATTCTCCCTGTTGCAAAACAGTGTAAAAGAGGAAGGAACAACATACTTTCTAATTCTCTGCATCCTCTTTTTGACCTTGCACCCCTCTGCCTCTGCAGCCTTGCTATTCTTCGAAGATTATCTAATATGCACAGTGGTACCTAAATCCAAGAAAGCTGTGGAACCACTTGCAGTAACTCTTATGAAATGTCCCAGATAAAGTTCTAATATTCAAAAGGCAAAATTGGTTTAAGTTGCCTCAGATCCTTCTAGGCATGAGGTGTGTTACAGAAATAAATTCAAAGTGTCCTGCATTCTAAATTATTTTACTGGTTAAAGCATTGGAATGAATTCTTTCCTTTAAGAATTTATGTATTTCTAAAAGCATTTAAAATATGCATAATTATGACTAGAAATAGCTGTAATATTTGTACCTGCAGAGTGTAACAACTCAGTAGTAAAATTTATAATTATAACCTATTCTGATTTCTTTTCAAATATTAGGTGTCCTAGTTGCCTATGAAGGTTTGCCACTTCATCTTGCACTGTTCCCCAAACTTTGGACTGAGCTATGCCAGACTCAGGTAAAGAAAACGAGTTTTAGATGATTTGGTCTTTCATCTTATCTGACCATATTTGGTCAGTAATTTTAGGAACAATGGATTGAAAACTGGCTGGAAATTGGGGATGTTTTAGAATCTTGACAGGTAAAACATGACTCATGGAAATAATAGCTATCGGGCGTCTAGTTATCCTTTGAGGTTTTTTACTTTAGAAGATTTGTATCATAGGATACTCCAAATAAACTATTCATAATTGAATTCCTCCTCTTTATAGGTCAATATAAACAGTTGTGGTAAAAGTCAAAAGTGGTATTAGGGGCAGAAGGCATATGCCACGTCTTGCTTTCCCCCTTTCTCCCGTCTCCCGTCTGTCACTTGCTCCCATCCGCTGTTGCAAAGCTCTAGCAGAAACTACTTCAGCAGTCTGTCCTTTACCTCTCATTTATTGTTACCTCAGAGTAGTTTTCCGAGAATCTGATGCATGTGTTTTCTTATTGACAGTCTCACTGAGAACAGAAAACACTTCTATCTTAAGTATCTAAGAGCCAATCTCTTAAAATAAAAGTGGACACCTGAATAATGCTTGTAAATGGTGGAGGAGAATGGAGGGGAAAGGAGAAACCAGATTGGTCCTAAGGTTTGGCTCATTCCCTGGATCAAGCATAAAGGATCCCCACTCTGTTCAGACCCTGAAAAAACTATTGGTTTCCTATGTGGTTGCATATGCCCACCCCCAGAGGAAGAGATTAATTTGCTTGCTTTCCTTCGCCATAAACCCTTTTCCCACATCATAGTATCTGAAATACTGCGAGTCTGGTCCTGCTTCCTGTGTGGGCAGTGGCACTCTGTATTTTCCTAATGGATGTGTGATGTGGTACTGTAACAGTTGTTTCTCTAGCTCCTTGTACCAAACTGTGAGCTCCTCAAGTGTAGAGACTATCTGAGTAATCTCTATTCCTTGAAGAAATGGCATTTTGTTTATTACTATAGTAGGAATCTTGGAAAGGCTAGTGTAGTGTTCACTGACCACATACATGGCTTAGGACACAGCAGTCAGAAAACAACTGCCGGTTGGTTTCTGAGCCAAGCATCTGTCCAGCACATGGGAGAGCTCCGTTTTTTCGCGTGCTGCTCCTGTTGCCCATTTCTTTCCTTCTGATTTGGGTTTGTTTGTTTTCCTGTACTCTACCACCACCTCTGGCTTCCCTACTGCTTTATCTACTTTTGCATTCTACTGCTCCCTTTATTTGGCTTCTTTTCCCACACACCATTCTCCAAAACTTACTTTAAAATAAAGCTAAAACATCTAAGGCTTCCAAAGCGCCTGTCAACCCTAAAGCAGCAGCTACCATGTACAAGAAACAGGCAGCAGGCAGAGGCTGTGATTGGTAGAATAAGGCAGATTTTCCTGACACCAAGGATCTGAAGACCTGGGTCCTGGTCCTGTTATAACTCCTAATTTCTTAGGGACCATGAGCAATTTACGTAATACGGTTCCTTATTCTAACAAAGTACATAAGTGTATACATGTACATAATATCTAAACTTTGTCCTATTTTTTAAGAAGTCTTCCACATAAATGATCTATTATTAACACACACAAATCTAGGGAACATAACTACTTAAAGACATACTACTTGTGTTTAAGAGCCATGACCATTTGAAAACAGGAAAACCAAATTTTAGTATAATTTCCATATATTGGGACCCACTAATGCTTTGTGTGAGATAATTAGAAAAAGAGGTTTGTTTACCTTTGCAATAGTTAAGGGGGAGGGGTGGGGGGACTAAGGATATTCACCAAATTACTATTGCTGATGAGATTATACAGTAAAAGGTATAATTTTAGAGAATTCTGAAAATACATCTTTACATGTGGCTTGGCATCTATTAATTATCCATTAACTGGTCCCTTGAAAACTCTTTTCCTGTTTAGGTTATCCAGTCCTTAACTGACTTAATGCTAAATATTAAAGCTGCATTTCTTTTTAAAACATTTATTCTGTTTTGGACTTCTTACAAGTCTCTTCCTCTAACACTCATATAGTCCAAGATAACTATTGGGAGGAGAGTTGTTGTAACTGAAAGTTTAGTAGACAGAGTTAAAAGTGGCGTTCCAGTGAGATTTAAAAGACTTTGGATGCATATCAGAAGCAGAATGGTGAAGGTGTGCAGTTATTTTAGGTCACCCATCAATACTTCTCTCCCCACTTCAGTCTGCGATGTCAAAAAACTGCATCAAGCTTTTGTGTGAAGATCCTGTGTTTGCAGAATATATAAAATGTATCCTAATGGACGAAAGAACCTTTCTAAACAACAACATTGTCTACACATTCATGACACATTTTCTTCTAAAGGTATGTGATACTTTGGAAACTCAGAGTGTTACTTCCAATTAGTTAGTGATTGTTTTTGCATTATGTTGGTCTTTGGAGATTTTTTTTTTTTTTAATCTTTTTCAGGTTCAAGGTCAAGTGTTTTCTGAAGCAAACTGTGCCAATTTGATCAGCACCCTTATTACAAACTTGATAAATCAGTATCAGAATCTGCAATCTGATTTCACCAACAGAGTTGAAATTTCCAAAGCAAGTGCTTCTTTAAATGGGGTAAGAGTTACGGAAGAGAATAGCCATGTCCTTCATAACTTCCTTAAGTCAACTCTCAGTTCGGCCTTAGTATGGTTTTACTATAATTTTATTATTCAAACTCTAAAAAATTTATGCATTTACTGTGCCTTTTATGTATATACTATTAGCTTAGAAGGCATGTGCTAATGTCATTAAATAGTAAGGGCAATAAGACTACTAAGAGAAGATACTTCCTTTCTCTTTGTTCACTTGCAAAGTTTCTGTTACTGGCTATGGCTTGTAAGTAACTGAAACAACCAGATGAATGATCTACTGATTATAAAGCCAGTTAAAACTAGGAAATAATTGTCTTGTGTAGACTCCCACGCTAGACATGTTACAGAATAATGGAACACCCTGGGAATGTGTGCTACCAGTTCATGTCCAGCAGCAGCCTCCCAAGTACAAAAATGCTTAGGTGCAGAAGAGATTATATAGCTGAACTAAATGGGAAAAATATTTGTGACATCTCCCAGAAATCAGCATACTTGAGAAACTATGGTATCTAGATAAGTAAAGCCTAAATTTCTCATGGATCATTCAGGTTGTTTTTTTTTTTTTTTAATTCCTATTTTTCTTTTTTTCCTTTTCCATTTGAGTCCTTTTTCTCCTCTTCTATTTGAGTCTTCATTCTGACTTAGTGGCATGGTACATAAAACAATGAATGGTATTAGTGACTTAGAACCAGGGAAATGTAGTTGTATAAAGTGGCTTTTATCTAAGTTCTAGGATTCTTCTAAAAATGCCAGAGAAACCAGGATAGATTCCCAGAAAAGTAAGCATGTGCAATAAAGTGTGACACAATTTTGTCAAAATGTTACCTTTAGAACTTGCAGTGTTCATGTCTGGATTTTTGTAGGACCTGAGGGCACTTGCGTTGCTCCTGTCAGTACACACTCCCAAACAGTTAAACCCAGCTCTAGTTCCAACTCTGCAAGAGCTTTTAAGCAAATGCAGGACTTGTCTGCAACAGAGAAACTCACTCCAAGAGCAAGAAGCCAAAGAAAGAAAAACTAAAGGTTAGTTACTGGCTTTCTGGACTAACACTACCTTTAGGGCAGGAGAAGGGAAGAAAACATGTTGTGTGACTGCCTTTGCTAAAAATGACATTTCCCCCCACACACTCCTTTCAGGAAAGTTTGTTTTGATGTTGGTTTTCACAGATGACGAAGGGGCGACTCCTGTGAAAAGACGGCGCGTTAGCAGTGACGAGGAGCACACTGGAGACGGCTGCATCAGCGACATGAAAACGGAAACCAGGGACGTCCTGACCCCAACAAGCACTTCAGACAATGAGACAAGAGACTCCTCAATTATCGATCCAGGAACTGAGCAAGATCCTCCTTCCCCTGAAAATAGTTCTGTTAAAGAGTACCGAATGGACGTTCCATCTTCGTTTTCAGAAGACATATCAAATATCAGGTCACAGCATGCAGAAGAACAGTCCAGTGATGGTAGATTTGAAGACTGTAAAGAATTTAAAGACCTTCACTGTTCCAAGGATTCTAACCTAGCTGAGGAAGAATCAGAGTTCCCTTCTACTTCACTCTCTGCAGTTCTGTCTGACTTAGCTGACTTGAGAAGCTGTGATGGTCAAGCTTTGCCCTCCCAGGACCCTGAGGCTGCTTTATCACTCAGTTGTGGCCATTCCAGAGGACTCTTTAGTCAGATGCAGCAACATGACATTTTAGATACCCTGTGTAGGACCATTGAATCCACAATCCATGTGGTCACAAGGATATCTGGCAAAGGAAACCAAGCTGCTTCTTGACATTAGATGTAGCATGTCTACTTTTAAGGTTCTCCTTCCCCCAATGCTGTTTGTATAAGTTTTGCTTATTTCTGTTTTTGTGCTTCAGTTTGTCCAGTGCTCTCTGCTTGAATGGCAAGATAGATTTATAGGCTTAATTCTTGGTCAGGCAGAACTCCAGATAAAAAAATTTGCATTTCTATCTTCAATATACTTCCTAAAGGGCAATCAGATAGTGGGTATGTTTTATGTAATGAAGAGTTCACTGTAGTGGCTTTCATTTAATACAGCTGTTTGGGAGGAGCAGGGTTCCCTGGCCCTGCACAATGTAATTTAAACTTACAGCATTTTTACTGTGTATAATATGGTGTCCTCTGTGCCAGTTTTGTACCTTATAATAGAGGCAGATTGCCTCTGATCGCTGTGGTTCTTATTATCAAAATTAAGTTTACTTGTATACGGAACAACCACAAGAAATTTGATTCTGTAAAGAATCCTCTTTAGCTGTGGCCTGGCAGTATATAAATGGTGCTTTATTTAACAGAATACCTGTGGAGGAAATAAAGCACACTTGATGTAAAAATAATTGTTTTATTTTTATTGACATGACTGATTGCTATTCTGTGCACTTAATTAAACTGATTGTGATGACTTTTCATTTGTTTACATACGTTGCTTCAGTCTTCTCAGAGGAAAGTAATGAGAAAACCGTGAATGAGGGAAGCACTTAACCATTAGATACTCTGTTTATTAGTCTAAAAAGTACCTTATCCCATAGACTTTTCAGTGCTTTCTACCCCAGGTAGAAACTAGTACATTGTAACTGCTGCAGGGAGGAGAGTTAACAGTATAGCCAACTTACGTCACTGCCACATGCTCCTGAAAGCAACATGCCACTTCTTCACTAAGAGCTACACACCTTACACGCCCTGAAGTAAAATAAGTTTCCCACTCTAAAGTTGGTCTTAGCAAGCTTAGCTCTCTATACTCAGGGACTTAGTCTGTTCCCAGAGGAGCATCTATGGGAGGTAAAGTTAATACCTAATTTCAGGTTGCTTGCTACTTTAACTCAACAGTCTAGTCATAATAAAGATTCAAACAATGCTTTAAATTATGTATAAGTTCATGGATTTCATCCAGTATACTGAATTTTTGTTTCTTTTTTAAAAGGAATAATAGGGAAAAGGTGAAGTTGATACTTTTTCTACTTACAAAATCTAAATCAACCATTTAGGGTTGTCAGCTGCAGTAATAAGCCTTTTATTTCTTCAGATTGCTGCTTCTGCCAACAGAATGTCATGTTTTCTTCCTTACAGACAGGAACTCCTTTGCAGTCCAACTGTAATTCAGTTTGCCCTGGAGGAGGCACAAAGGGCAGTGCAACTGTTAACACACTGTTTTGGAAGGAAAACAGGATGCTTATCACTGCATTATGAAGAGGCTAATGTAGCCATATGGTCCTGCTACTGCTTTCCATGGCTGGTGGGGGGAACAGCTTGCGTGTTTTGGGGCTCGTAGAACAAACCAAGTGTACTAGTAACATACCTCTGGCCAGTTCCTGCATGTCCATATCTTTTCATTTGTTAACTGAAACAAAGGGGAAATTCCTCTGAAAACATCTTTTAAAACTTCTTACAACACAGGAAAACACTAAATCTTTTCATCAAAACCCCTACATACTAAAAGTGAGAGTGAACAACATCCAGTCCTGTTTTTCAGGCTCTACGCCAGCAGCCTTGAGAATTCACTGTCCCCAGTGCCAAAATGTAACAGCACAACATCAGGGACAGACAGTGACACTGGTCATCAGAAGACAGCTGATACCAAGGGTGAAAGCAACTGCACAGACAGCACTGTGGACCCCAATGATTCAGGTAGCAGAAACTTGAAACTTCTAGACTAAGGGTTGCAAAGAATTGTGCTTATTTCTTCTAGACTCAGACACCTGCACAATTACTGAAACTAAGGCTTCATCTTTACTGTCACCTAGTATATAAAACATTTTTTACTTGTTCTATAGCCAACTTTCTAAAGTTCTCAAGTAACTGTGAGCTCAGAAGCCCAAAGCAAGTTAAAAACAGCAAAAGTGGAAAGTCAGTCCCAGTTTACTTTTCTTTAACCCTAAGATTACTTACCAATTCTATATATTCACTGATGATGTTCCCATCAAACATTTGGAATTTCCCTCTCTTTTTTAGCTTCTAATTCAGCAGATGCAGAAAATTTTTGCACCAACTAACCAAGCAAAAAAAACAGTAGATACGTTATTCCAGATGTGCTGTCACATTTTTAACATTAAAGTACTAACACAAAAAGCTCAAACCATAGTAACTTTTTTTAAAATCCTGAGTACATAACGTCCCTACAGCTTGCTTTCTTCTTCTTTCAGAAATAGAGCAGTAAATTAATGTATCCCCTAAATGCTGGTATATCCCCCCAGAATGCCTCCTTTCCCCCCTAAGATTTTTCAGAAGCTACCCAAAATTTTACCACCACAATTCTACATCCCTTCAATTTGAAAAAAATACAACCACATGAGAAGTAAAACCAGCTCTATTTCTTTGCGGCCCATTTTCTCCCAATATCAGCACTTAAGGCCCCAGCTTGACAAGTGACTCAACATTTTTCACAGTGAAGATTACATAGCAATACTCCACAGCTCTGTTGAACAGGCCCATCTCGGGTGCCACAGCAGGGACCCCTACGCCCGGTGCCACTGGAGAGGAGGCCTGAACCCGAAGAAGAGAGAGAATGCCAAGAGATAAAACTGCTTAGATTCAAAAATTCAGCCTTCCAGTCTTAACATAAGATGTGCCAAATTCCACACTACCCCTTCTAGACACATGGGAAGAGCACAAAAAGCCTTACTAACACTACCAGCCCTGGTCTTTACTACAGGAACAGTTCATTGTTCATATGGCCCTTCAGCTCTGTTCTCTCCCAGAATATGGCTTAAGACCCCAAATCCTACTGGAACATGTAAATATGGCCCAAAAGGCATAAAGATAAGCAGATGCAGGGCAAAAGAGTGTCAATCCCCCCACCAGATTCCAAGCACAGGATCTAAAACTTCCAATCCAAAAGTCCTGGTAGAAGGTTCTTCCACTGGTATGTGAGCCTCCAAGTCACCCTGTATTGTAATCTCTTGCCTACCAAAGAACACTGCTGTTAGTACACTGTCTTGAACTAAAATTCAGTATTTATCCCAAAGAAAGGCCTGTTTATATGTTCCCTTCCATCAAGGATGGAAGTCTAATTTCATTATTTCCCCCTAAAAATGGCAGGGGATGCAAGGGTGGATCAACTGGCCCTCCTTGCTATCTTATGGTCCAACCTAAAAAGACGTTCAGAGCTTTGAGGCATTCACGTTAAGCACCTCATCTTCCCCCTCCCTGCATACTGGCCATCAGAGGTCACACCTGCAAGGCCCTTTCACACTGTCTCCTCTCAAAAGCCAGTCCTTGGGTTGTCCCAGTTTTGTCAGTAAAATCATGCCCATTGTAAATTCTACAAAGAAACACAACAGAAAGAGTTTTAACCCTTCCTTTTAGGTACAGACCAAAAAGTAGAAAATTCAAAAGAACAAGTAAGAAAATAGAAGAACTGATCACTTATAAACTATTCCTATGCTGTTTTGAGAATTTCAAGACCATTCTGTGTTTTTACGTATCACACTGATGTGAACATGAATTCCCCAGCAACAAAAGCCTTATTTCAAATGCCTCACTTCTTTGTAGTTATTGATAAAATAGCAAAATTTTCTAATGTTCTTTTCCAAAAAGCTCAGCTTTATACAACTATTAGCTTTTATGACCTTCACTTAACTGTCAAAACCAGACACTTTTCCCTCTGCTTCACACCACCTCTCAAGAACTTGCCCCCTCACAGCAAGCAGTCAAGCCTGTGGCCAGGCACATTTTTGGTGTTTTGGGGAAAGCGGCAGCCCCAAACCCGTCTATGCCCACACCTGTATACTCAGGTAGCAGAGTCCAGCAGTGAGGTAGACTCACAGGCCCTACTGGCCATTCTGCCTGGCAGGTGGCTTCTCTAAGCTACGGAAGACAACAGTGTAGGGACAGGTTATCTTGGTAAATCTCAACTACTACTGTAATTCGTGCAGTCACTTCCACTCATTCGTGCAACAAAGGTTTATTAAGCCCCTACTACGTGTCAGGTATTGTGCTGGATGCTGGAGACAGCAATGAACATGACACACAACGTCCATGCCCTCATGAGCTTACAGTCTAACAGGGAAGATAGACATGAAACAAGTAATTAATTATACAACTGATTAAATCATTAGGCAAAACGGTTCACACTGTGCACTAAACTGGTAGTCTCTAATTGTCTTACTCATGACCAGCTCTCCCCCTCCACGAGTTTACCCCTGCAGCATAGAGTTGTGTCTGGAGCCTCAGACACCAGCTAACCTGGGAATCCAGACCATGGTGGAGAGCATACCTGGGCAAATAGAAAAGGGACCCTCTGGCTCCCAAGGGGGGATGCCTTCTTTGCCTGTCTTAAGTGCCTTCAGTTAATCTCCAAGGGCCTCCCTGACCTTGGCGGGGCCTGCATTTATATAAGATCCTTCAATATATCCCCATCTCTTTCTTTTTACTCACATTACTCACCTATAAATCAGAAAATATAAACCTAACAAGACATCTGGTTTGATGTATTCTTACAACATCAGGACAAATGCCTGAGAGAAGAGCTGTGGTGGGGAGGGAAGAAGAAATGGGTGTAAGAGATCTGACTCAAGATCTCACAGAGTCTGAGAAGATACAAGGGGTTTTTTTAGTCAAGGGTCCACTGAGTTGGCCAAATCTTAAATGGACCTCTTAGAATGTGAAGTCCTTAGTTTGCATACAAAATTGTATGTGTCTATGAAATGTGTTATATTGATGATGCACGTAGTCCACGGCTTTTATCAGGGTCTAGAAATGCGCTGTCCAGTATGAAATGTGGCTGGCTTGATTTAAGATGTGCTGTAAGGGTGAAATGATACACAGGAGACTTGGAAGGCTTAAAACAAAAAAAGGAATTGTAAAATACTCTCAATAATAATTGATATTGATACATGTTAAAATGGCATTTTTTATACACTCAGTTAAATAAAAAATATCAAAATTAATTTCACCTGTTTCTTTTAGCTTTTTTAAGCTAGCTACTAGAAAATTTTAAACTCCACATGTGGCTTGCATTATATTTCTATTGAACAGCGCTGATCTAGAACCACAAAGCCAGTATATTAAGAAAATCAGATTTCCAAATAACATGGCCTTCAGCTACTCTCTTTTGGCAGGGAGAACTGGGAAAAGGAGAGGGGAAGAAAGTGGGGGGTGGCCAAGGGAGAGAGGGGAGGGAGGGAGGGAGGGAAGAAAGGCAACAGGAGGAAGAAGTGGGACAGGGAGAGGGAAGCATCAAAAAGCTGCTCTGGGGATGCCTCTGGGGTATCCTCAGAATGATGAGGTGTTCATTAGTGTCCTTACCATTCAGTTGAGGCGGGTCTGATCCCAGATCCCAGTTGCAATCTAAAGAGTTTGTTCTGTTGCGCTACCAAGGGTTGAATCTAAAAAGGCCAGTTTAACATGCCGATGAAAGACTCAGCTGTTGGATTTGAATATAACAAAGTAAAATCACAGCCTCTGAATACAGCAACCACATGTCTGAAGATACGTCTGACACAGCCCCAATCTGATGGCATTTTATAACCTTTAATTTAATAAAGGTGAATCATCATGCTGCTCAATATGATTTAGTTTTTATATCTTTGAAAGTCCTCACATTGAATACGTTCACAAATCAAAAAAAGCCCCTTTGTCAAACTATCTTGGTTTGGAAAATAAAGCTGCTGTACAAATGGTCTTAGCCCAGAACCAACCTTTCAGCTTGAAGAGGGCACTCAGCATGCATTAGAGTCACATAAGGCTCTATCTCCCAAGGGAACTAGGAAAGCCAGTCAAAAGCAGCACACAGTATAGTAGGTAGTTCATGGAAAACCACGCGACACAACCAAGGGATATCACAACTAAAAGCTGAGAGTTTTCACTATTCAATGGAAACAGCAAAGATGCAGGGGAGGGAAAACAAAATCCCATTCACTAAGCTGTGCGTGCGGCCTGGGGCACTTCACGGTACCTGGGAGTCACAGTGCCCTGACACCATCTTGAAAAGATGAGTCGGCCCCACTTCACAGATGAGAGGCCGCTGAGGCTGCAGTCGCCTGCCGGGGCGCCACACTGGGCCTGTGGAGCGGCCCAGGCTTCCTGGCCTTGCTCCTTTTGCCCACACCTCTCTGCTCCACACCCCATGGTTCAGCCACCCTTCTCCGCAAACAAGCCCTCCCCAGTTCCCCACCACTACCACACAGGAGTCATACAGTCTGATGAACAGGTTTTCAAATGTCCAACGTCTGTAGCTTGATTTTAAGGAAGAAAGAAAGAAACTCTATCAGATACCTCACCTCAGTGCCATCTACACCCTTTTCTTCAGAAAGGCTGGGTATTTCAATCAATCCCTTCTGCTTGGCACCAGATTCTTTAATTACACCTAAAATGAGCAAAATGTGTTCTTCAATTCCAAAGTTAACAACTGGTTTATGCCAAACTCCCCTGCCTAATGGAACAGGTGCCTCACGGGGCAGGTGCCCAGCTTTCCCCCCACAGGTGCCCAAACCAACCCTGTTCTCCTGCCCTCATCAGAGGTAAGCAACCGAGAAAGGTGGGGGCAGAACCTGGCCAACAGAACTGCACATGAAATCGGGCTGGCTGGAAACATGGGTCGTAGTAAGTGGGTGTATAAGTAATGTTTCTTTATTCATCCCCCAATATTCTTAACAAGGTCAAAGTAGGATAAAGGGCTTTCTCCAAGAGATGCCATATAAGGGAGGGGAGGACAGAAAGGAAAGATGAGTTCTGATCACGGGGTGAGCGAGCAGAGAGAGGGTGTGGCTTAAGAGAGTTCTCTGCAGGCTCCTTTACGACCAGAGTGTGATTTCAGTAACAACACAAAAATGGCAACACAGCTTGTTCCTGGCTTCAGTCCCCCTCACAAGAAGACCAACTAGCAGATCTCCATAGACTAAAGCCACCGTGAAAATCTCAGAACCCAGAGTGAGGCTGAAGAACCCTCCTGGACCAGAAAGAGAGGTCAGGAGGGAGGGAGCACCAGAGCACTGTGACCAAACCGTGTGGACCGCATTCCTAACTGCAGCAGCACATGGGCAGAAAGCCCAGCCAGAGACTGCCTGCGTGCAGAGCCGAGCTGGCAGCCCTATCTGGCCAGGGAGCTCCGTTGGCAGTTCTGCCTGATTGAGGTCCCAGTCAATGGGCTGAAGCCGGCTGTGGAGCCCCCAACAGGCAGGCAGGTAATTCACAGCCCTACTCAACTGCTGAGTGTAGCCTCCATTCCTGACCATCCAGGGAGCCTGACCAGAGTACCTGGGCAGCTGTGGAGCCCAGCCTACAGCCCCACTCAAACACGGAGCCAAACCAGCAGCCCTGCCCCACTGTCCAGCATAGCCCCTGGTCCCACATACCCAGGGAGCCCAAGCAGTGACCTTAAGCAGCCTCAGAGCCCAGCCTATAGCGCTGCTCCTGTTAAACACAGCTTACAGCCTTGTGCCGACAGAGCCCAGACAGCAAGCCCATCCAACGAGGGAGCACAGCTGCTAGCACTGCCATCTGCAGTGGGCACTGGAGGCCTCTCCCAACCAGAGAGCCCAGCCAGGGCCCTGCCAACTGTGGCAGCTCGCCTGCAGACCTGCCCAACCTCAGAGCACAGGTATGTTCCCACCTGATTGCAGAGCACAGCCTGAGGCCAGGTCCAACCATGAAGCTCCACCTGTGGCCCTTCCTGGACAGAGTTCAGCCAGTCGCCCCATCTGGTCAGGGAGCGTAACCTGAGTCCCCACCAGCCTACAGCTCCGCCCAATCACAGTCCAACTAGTGGCACTGCCCTGCCAGGGAACACAGCCAGTGACCATGTCAAGCAGCAATCATGGCAGTCCAGAAAGGGACTTCACGTCACTGTGCAGCACTGCCACCAGCCCCATCCAGTCAGGGAGCTGAGCTAGTGGCCCTGCATGAACATGGAGCCCCTCCAGCAGACCCAACCAAACACAGCTGAGCCAGCAGCAAGCCCCCAGCCTCAGAGCACCACCCACGTTGAGGCCCCAACAGCAAGGCCCAGCTGCCATGACACAGCGAGCTGATGAGCCAGTAACACCAGCTCAGCTGAACAGTGGAGGTCTTTCCCTGCCGAGGCAAACCTGTAAAGTCTGCAAGAAGCCCACTTATTTATGTGCACAGATACCAATGCAAAGAATCAAGGCTTAGGAAGAATTAGGTGAACATGATACCACCAAAGGAAATGAATAAAGCTCCAATAACAGACCCTAAGGAAAGGGAGACCTATGAAACTGCATGAGTGGGAATGCAGAATAAACCTCTTAAAGCAGCCTAGTGACCTACAAGAGCACACAGACAGACACCTAAATCAAGTTAGGAAAATCATGCAGTACCAAAATAGAAACCCTAGAGCTACAGAACATAATGACTGAATTGAAAAATTGAGTAGAGAGCTTCAATATCTAATTCAACCAAGCAAAGGGAAGAATTAGTGAATTAAAACATAGGTTGTTTTAAATTAGCCCCTCAAATTCACAAAATAAAAAGAGAATCAAAAAGTAAAGAAAGTCTAAAGGACTTATGGGATACCATAAAAAAATACTGCATGCATTATGAGAATCCAAGGGAAGAAAGAAAAAGGGAAAGTCTATTTAAAGCAATAATAACTGAAAACTTCCCAAACCACAGAGGAGAAATGCACATTCAGATTCCTGAGGCCCACAGGACTCCCAAATAGACTAAACATGAAGGCTACCCTAAGGCACACTATAATTAAACTGTCAAAATTCAAGGACAGAGAATAATGAAAGCAGCAAGAAAAGTAACTCATCACATACAAGGGAGGTTCCAAGGCTTACAGGTGGGTTTCTAAACAGAAACTTGACAGGCCAAGAGTGGGATGACATATTCAAAATATTGAAAAGAAATGCCTGTCAACCAAAAATACTATATCCAGCAAAGCTATCCATCAAAAATGAAGGAGAGATAAAGACTTTCCCAAACAAACAAAAGCTGAGGTTGTTCATCAATACTTGCCTTGTAAGAAATGCTAAAGGGCATCTTTCAGGCTAAAATAAAAGAATGCTAATCAGCATCAGGAACACACACAAATGTATAAAATCACTGGTAACAAAGTCAGATTATCTAATATTGCAATGGTGGGGCATAATTCATTTACAACTCTAAAAGTCAACAAACATATTAAAAATAACCATAATTTCAATAACTTGTTATTAGATATGCGATATAAAAAAGATGCAAATTGTAACATCAATAACCTAAAATGTGAGGGGAAAGAGAAGTACAAATTTCTCTATGTATTATCAGTTATTAACTTAAATAGGTTGTTGTATATTAGCCAGGGTAACTACAAAGAAAAAACCTGCAGTAGATACAAGAAATTATGATAAAGGTGTCAAAACTTACCACCACAAAAAGGCAATAAATCAGCAAGGAAGATGAAGGAGGAGACAGTGAACACAGGATCTAGAAAACAGTCAGAAAACAATGGACAAAATGGCAATAGTAAGTCCTTAACTATCAAAATTATTTTAAACATAAATGGGTTAGATTCTCCAATCAAAAGATAGAAAATGGCTGAATGGATAAAAATTAAAAACAAGATTCAACAACATGCTGCCTATAGGTGACTCACTTACGCTTTAAGGACACACATAAATTAAGAGTAAAGGGATGGAAAAAGATATTTCAAGCAAATGGTAACCAAAAGAAAGCACGAGTAGCTATACTTATATTAGACAAAGTAGACTTTAAGCTAAAAAATAGCCAAGAGAAATAATGTTAAAGGGGTCAAAAATATATAACAATTGTAAATATTTATGTACCCAACATCAGAGCATCTAAACATACAAAGCAAACACTAACAGAACTAAAAGGAGAAATAAATAGCAATACAATAGTACCTGGGGACTTTAACCACACTCTCAACAATGGGTAGATCATCCAGGCAGAAAATCAGTAAGGAAATAGCAAATTTAACCAAATGAACCTAACAGACCTATACAGAATATTCCATCAAACAGCAGCAGAATATACATTCTTCTCAAGCACCACAGAACATTTTCTAGGATAAATCATATGATAGGCCACAAAACAAGTCTCAACAAATAAAAAAAGACAAAATTTTAACAAATATCTTTTCTAACCACAATGGAATGAAACAATAAATAACAGAAGGAAAGCTAGGAAATTCACAAATACATGGAAATTAAACAAAACACTCCTGAAAAACCAACAGCTCAAAGAAATCAAAAGGGAAATTTTAGATGAATCTTGAGACAAATGAAAATGGCAACACAACACATCAAAATGTACAGGATGCAGCAAAAAACAGCTTTAAGATGGAAGTTTGTAGTGATGAATACATACATAAAGAGAAAAGAAAGATCTCAAAGAACCTAACTTTACACCTCAGGGAACTAGAAAAAGAACAAAATAAGCCTGAAGTTAGAAGAATAGAAATAACAAGCAATCTACAGATTCAATGCAATATCTATCAAAATTTGAATGTAATTTTTCATAGAAATAGAACAATCTTAAATTTGTATGGAACCACAAAATACCCCAAATAGCCAAAGCAATCTTGAGAAAGAACAAAGCTAGAGGCACACTTCTGATTTCAAAATTATTACAAAGTGATTGTGATCGAAATAGTGTGGTACTGGTATAAAAACAGACAGATCAGTGGAAGAGAAGAGAAAGCCCAGAAATAAACCTCCACACATATGGTCAATTAATCTATGACAAAGGAGGCAAGACTATACAGTGGGGAAAGGGCAGTCTCTTCAATAAAATGTGGTGAGAAAACTGGGCAGTCACAAGCAAAAGAATGCAACTGGACCACACTCTTACACCACACACAAAAAGTGACTTAAAATGGATTAAAATGACTTAAAACATGTAACCATAAAACTCCTAGAAGAAAATACAGGTGGGTAAGCTCCTTGACACTGGTCTTAGCAATGATTTTTAGATTTGACACAAAAAACAAGCAAAAGCAAAAATAAACAAGAGGGACTTCTAACTAAAAAGCTTCTACATAGCAAAGGAAACCATCAACAAAATGAAAACCTATGAAATGGGAAAAATATTTGCAAATCATATATCTGATAAGGGATTAATATCCAAAATATATAAAGAATTCATAGAATCAAAAACAAAAAGCAAACTATCCAATCAAAAAATGGGCCAAGGATCTGAATAGACATTTATGCAAAGATATTCAAATGGCCAACAAGAACATAAAAAGGTGTTCAATATCACTCATCACCTGGGAAACCACAATGAGGTATCACCTCACATCTGTTAGAATGGCTATTATTAAAAAGAGATATAAAGTATTGGTGAGGATGTGGAGAAAAGGGAACACTGGCACACTTACCGGTAGGAATGTAAACTGGTACAGCCACTATGGGAAAACCTATAGAGTTCTCAAAAAATTAAAAATAGAACTACCGTATGATACAGCAATCCCACCTCTGGGTAAATATTCAAAGGAAATGAAATCAGTATCTCAAAGAGATAGCTTCACCCCATGTTCACTGCAACATTATTTACAGTAACCAAGACATGGAAACAACCTCATGTCCATTGATGGATAAATGGATAAAGAAAATGTGGTATTTGTGTAATGCACATGTTTGTATACACACACACACAGGAATATTACTCAGCCATAAAAAATAAGGAACTCCTGTCATTTGCAACAACATGGATGGATCTTGTGGGCATTATGCTAAGTCACATAAGTCAGACAGAAACAAATACTGTATGATCTCATTTACATGTGTAATCTAGAAAAAACACACAGAAACAGAGAGTGGACTGGTGGTTGCTGGAGGTGTAAGTGGTCAAAGGATACAAAAGGTATAAACTTCCAGTTATTCATTGATCAATAAGTTCTGAGGATGTTATGTACAGCATGTGAGCATAGTCAGCAATACTGTACTGTATATTTTAATGGTGCTAAGAGGGTAAATCTTAAAAGTTCTCAACATACACAGAAAAGAATTGTAACTATATAAGGTGATGGCTGTGTTAATCAACCTTACTATAGTAATCATTCCATAATATATACACATACCATCACCTGTACAAAAAATAAATAAGCCAATTTTAAGAGAAAATACTACTTTACATAGTGGGTAGTATTATCTTAAGGAACTGAGCAGGAGGGTTAAAAGATATTTGGTAGAAATATGGCTTGAAAGGCACACTTGTAAGTTTGAGGGTGGCAGGTCTCTCAAGGCTGCTTGAGGGAACTGGGCTATAAGAAAATATACAAAAAAAACCCCAAACAAAACCAAAAAACAAGACCAGAGTGCTGTCTCCTCCCCAGTGGATCCCCCTTGCCACCTCTGGGGCCCACCGCCAGGAGAGCAAGCACGGGGTGCCCTCTGGCTGCTGCCTGGAAATAGCTGAGTTTACCGCTCACAGAAGGTGGTTGCTGCTTTGAGGTAAGGGGGACAGAAGAGACAAAAAGCCATGAGCTCCCCTGAGGGAAGGGTCCCAGGGGTGGGGTGGGCTATAAGAGGCCAGACCCTGCTATGATCCAGCCACAGCAGCCATGGGGGGAACAACTGAGAGCAAAGCCCCAGCCAGAAGATTCCAAGGCAGGTGTGGGCAACTTCTGAGGCTCGCTGAACACCTCCCTAGGTCTGGGCCAGGCTGGAGCTGGCAACGCCCAAGCTGGCTTACTGGGTGGCTCTCTGACCCAGACTCTCAAGAAAGGAATTAACCCTGAGCTGAAGCCCAAATTCAACAGGGCACACCTTCAGGGCCAGATCTCCCTCTCTCTCCTCTTCCTTTTCCCCTTTTGTCTTCACATCCACAGTTACTTCAGCAAGTATTCACTGAGCGCAGACTGTCTACCCCACCAGGAGCTAGGCACTATGGGAGAAAGTTATTCATCAAACACACACACATTTCAGACAGTGATCTGGGCCAGGAAACAAAACCATCTATATCTGATCAAAAGACCCAAAGAGTGAAAACAACCCAAATATCCATCAACTGATGAACAGGTGAACAAAAGGATGAAACACTCAACACAGATGAACCTTGAAAACATGTTAAGGGAAAGAAGCCAGTCACCAAAGACCACATGCTCTAGGATTCCACTCATACGAAGCGTCCAGAACAGGGAACCCCAGAGAGGTAGAAAATAGATTAGTGGTTGCCAAGGACTGACGGAGTGATGCTAATGGGTACAGGGGCTTTGGGAATGATGAAAATATGCTAAAATTGACTTTAGTGGTGGTGGCTACACAACTCTGTGAATATATTGAAAATCAACTGCATGCTGTAAATGGTTGAGTTTTAGGTATGTACATTATATCTCAAAAAAACTGGTATTTAAAAAAATCCCTGCCCTAATGAACCCTGCAGGGGAAGGGAGGAAACTAGAATAAACAAGATATTTACATAGTCATATACGGTATACCAAATATCAGTGCCTTGGGAAGAAATAAAGCAAGGAAGAGAGACTACAGGGAAGGAATCTACAATTTGTATAGGATGGAAACAGGTGGCTTCACTCAGGACAGACAGCTGACAGAGCCAAAGGAGCCAGCAGGCTGCTCTCTGGGGAAGGGTGCTCCAGACTGCAGCTCCAGGAGACTCTAAGGCTGATGAGAGCCCAGCTGAGGGGCAAAGAGCTCTAGGCAGCTCGAGTGCCGAGATAAAGAGAGGTCCCCAGCTTGTGGGTCAAGGAGCTCCACGTGCCGGTAGGGTGTCTAGGACTCTGAACAGCAATTCAGGGGCCACTCAGTGCTAGGCCCATTGGACTCATTCTAAAAACATCTATTGGTGAATGAATAATGAATCAATTGACTCTGCCCCAAGGCTGTTTCCAGCCACCTGTACCCTGAGATTGTTACCTTTCTTAGCCCCAAATGATGTTCCACTCATAAAAGAAAATCAGCTTTCCTTTGTGGCTGCTGCAGGAAGTCTTGCCTTCCACCTGCTTCAGCTCACTAATCTCACAGCCAGCCTCGTTCTGCAGGATGATTCCCACCAGGAGCTCTCGTAGCTTCCCCTTGGACCAGCGGGTGACATTCCACTCTATTCTGCCAGGGAGGAACAAGAAGGGCAGAGCCATGAATGGAAGCCTTAGCTGGTGTCCACATGCTCATCCTGGGGTGGTAGGGAAACACCTGCGCCCAAACCAGATCAGCCCAGTTCCCCTCAAGCAGCCTTGTGAGACCTGCCACCCCTTAACCTTACAAATGTGCTTCTCAAGCCAGATTTCTACCAAATATCTATTAAGCCTCTTGCTCAGTTCCTTAAGATACTATGTAAAGTAGTATTTTTCTCTTAAAAACGCTGGCTTATTTGGGGGAAAAGGGCCTAGCAATCTCACCTGGCCTGTAGCAAAGCCTGGGACCTATGAAAAAGCAGTAATAACTGAAACAATTTCAATCATAACGAGATAAGTTATCAAGTATTTTCAAACATTAGCTCATGCAATCTTCCCAAATAATGCTCCCATTTTAGGGAATGGAAATGAGCCGAGAGAAACACGTGATGTTGAGACAGGGACCATGGGTGTAGTCAGAGTAGGGTGAGGGCCTCTGAGAAAAGCAGGGTGGAATATTTACAGTCAGAGCAATGTAACAATGGGCAAAGAAGTCCCTATTGAAAGTCTGTGCTAAGCATTATGCAAAGTCAAGGTCACACTAATTCTCTAGGTAAGGATATGGACATCTTCAGTGAGATCAGTTAAAGGTCAAAAGGCCAGAAGCAACTTAGCCTGGAATGTCTGAGCGTTCTGCAAGGGTATCAGCATAACCCGTGATTCCGCTGTCAGTCCTGGCAATCAGACTATGACCCAGCCCACCTTGAGGACAGGACAGGTGATGCAAGTCCACACCGCTAAATTTTTTTCATGTTCTCGAAAATCCTCAACTGCCTATAAAACCCCCTAGACAACGCACCACTACGGGCTCTCTTGTCCCCCCATGGCATGAGCCAGGAGATCTATTCTCTCACTTTATTTCTAAATAAAAGCCTGTACCTTGCTCTCCTACCTTGAGTGTTTGTGAAGCTCATTCTTCGGCTTCATGAACAAGAACCCCGGCATCAATGTGTCCATGGTGACAGAGCTAGGAAAGCAGAAGTCAGCCCTTCTCAGCCCCAGGCCAGGGCTCCCCAAGTAAAGCATTCCTCTGCCCTGGACGTGCCTTAGCATCACCTCCGTGGCGTCGAGGTACCACAGCCCCCAAAGCTCTGAGGTAGAGGGATGTAAATCGGCCCATGTGTCCTTTTTAACTCCCAGAAACGTGGAGAGGGCTGGCTGTGGGAGGGGAAGGGGAAGGGGCGGGAAGCCCCTAGGGCGGCAGGCTGTCAGAGGTCAGGCAGAAGCCTTCCCTGGGTTCCAACCCAACTTGCAGAGGGAGGGAGCTCACGTCTCCGGGCCAGCGCAGACGGCCCCCAGGCGCCCTGGGCCACGGGCCGCCGCCGGCGCGCCGGGGATGCCCCGCACCTGGGCGGGCCCGGCCCACGGAGGCTCTCTGCCGCCGGCGGGCCCGCCATCCCTCCCTCAGGGCACGGAGCGCCCGGCCGCCGCGGAGAGAGGAGCCCCGGAGGCCGCACCCCAGCCCCGCCCCGGCGCCGGGTGTTCGCTCGGGTCCCGTCTTCCCGCTCCTCCGCGGTCCCCCGGCCCGCCGTGGCCCTGCCCGCGCTGGGGGGCCGCCCGGGCAGAGAGCGCAGAGGGGTCTGGCGCCGCCGTTTCCGCCTCGGAGCCCCGTATCAGGGCGTTCGCGGAGCCCCGAAAATGCCAGAAACCCCGCCCCCCCGTACCGCGTCGCGCCGGGCCGAGGCCCGCTGCGGGCTCGCCAGTGCGGGGGCCGGGAGGCGCGCAGCCCGGGCGCCTTCCAAGGTTATTACTGTGGCAACGATTACTTTCAGCGCCAGCACGCGGCTGCCAGGCTGTGACGGATCCGCGCCGCGTGCAGCGGACCTGAGCCTCGAGGCGCCACCCGGGTACTCGATCTCCTGCTGTGCTACCTGAGGTCGGGCGCGGGCCGCCCGTGCGGCGTGCTCTCGGCCCTGCGCCCTAGTTGTACACCACGTTTGGGTTTTGTTCCTTCGTGAGGTTGATGGTGGTATGGTATTCATGTGTTTTCAACACTTGTCCAAGTAGCACAAGCTACGAAGTTCCAAGTTATTTCAGGACCGTTTACGTTTTATTCATGCAATAATCTTGTACAGATGACGAAAGAATGTGAATGCCATCTCATATTGCAGCTTGATGAAATTTTACAATAATTATGTAGATATTAATGATTTCTTTAACGAATTTTCACCTTCTAGCAACAACTTTGCACCAGCTCTCCGGAAAACGTTACCAAGGTGTCCGTATATTTATTTAGCAGGGAGAACGGATATGGCAATGGACGGGCAGGGGTCCCTGGCTTGTCTGTTCCCCTGTCGTGGCCCATGCATTGCCTGTCTATGCTTATCAGTGAAACAAACTAACTGATGGAGAACATTTTCGCCTTTTGCTTACTGGCACTATTATATTCCAACAAAATCTTCCAGAAAGCTAGAACAGTCAAATAAACGGCTTCAAAATATTTTGACCCTCAAACAACAAAATGGCATTTTTATACTTCGCCAAAGGCATGGACAGCTAACACCAGGTATCAAACAGAAAATATTTGCAATGGCAATAGTAGTGGGCACCTTTTGGTGTAGATTAGCTGTCCTTTTATCCAATTCATAAAGAATATTACTGATAGACCATTACATGGTAAGTTTTAGATATGTGTAATTGGAATCCCAGGGGAAAATAAGATTTACCAGAAAACTTACAAAGGCAGAGGCTATAAATGCTAAAATTTTATGTGGACCAAAATTTTTGTAATGTTTACACAAGTAGAATTTATCCCAATGGAAATAATTTTATTAAAATGTAAACATATTCTATGTAGATAATTAGTAATTATATTGGTCAAAAGATTTTGTTCCAAAAAGTAATTTGTCAAGTAAAATATTCAGAATTAATATAATTAGTATTAAAATGTTTGTCTTAAAAAAACTGAGTCAAGGATCTCCAAGAGATATTTGTACACCCATATTCACAGCAGTATTATTCACGACAGCTAAAATGGGGAAGCAACCCAAATGTCCATCAACAGGTGAACACATAAAATGTGGTATATACACACAATGAAATGTTATTCATCCTTAAATAGGAAGGAAACTTGGACATATGCTACAAAACATGGATGAACCTTGAGGTTCACTTTATACTATTAGTGTGAACTTAGCATATTAACATTTTGCTGAGTGAAATAAGCCAGTCACAAAAAGACATAGTACATGATTCCACTTCTATAAAGTATTTAGAGTAGTGAAAATCAGAGATAGAAAGTAAAGTGGTGGTTTCAAGGGGCTAGAGTGAAGAAGAAATGGGGAGTTATTGTTTAATGCGTATAGAGTTTCAGTCTTACAAGATGAAGAATTCTGGAGATGGGCAGTGGTGATGGTAGCACAATATTAAGAATGTATTTAACACCACTGAACTACACACCTAATGGTTAAGAAGGCAACTTTTTAATGTGTATTTTATTTTAATTCTTAAAAATGCGGTGAGGAGAAAACCCTACATCAATGAGCAAAAGATTGCTGGGGAAGAAGATATTCACATAGTGTGAGGGTATCACACACCCTCCCCCACCCAGTTCTCTTATTAACTACTGTAAGGAAATGTGATGTTTACAAAGGAGAAATCTGGCAACTACCACCTTAATCAAATGATGAAATTCAGCACCACCAGAAATGGAGCAAATGGCCATGGATACACCATCACCTATGTAGTACTTTTGCCAAAAATGCTTAATCTGAGTCTAATCATGGGGAAACAATCAGAAAAGCCCAAACTGAGGGAAATTCTGCAAAATGGACCTGGCTTAGACTCCAAAAATAAACATTTCATGAATATCAAAAGAAGGCTAAAGAGATGAGAGATGTGCCAACTAAAAGCAATGCATGATCCCAGATTAGCTCCTGGATCCCAAACAGTTTTAAATGACAAAATTGGAATTTAAATTGCATATCAGCCTGCATATTGGATAACAGTGTGTCAATATTAAAATCTCTAAACATTGAATATGGGTTACAAAGGAAAACGTCTTGTTCTTTGGCGATACATCTGAAATATTTAGGGGTAAAGTGTCATGATGTCTGCAATTTACTCAATCAGTTCAAAGGAAAAAACATAAAGCTGGTGTGGCAGAATGCTGACAACCAGTGGCTCGAGGTGAAGAGTTCCCAGGGGTTCATCATGATATTCTTGCAACTCTGTAAGTCTGAAAAATTTTCTTTTTTAATTGAGTCAAACATCTTCACGGATGAATCGGCAGTTTCCAGTTGCTAGGGTGGGTAAACATTCTACCACATTTAGTGAGCATCTCCTGTGTGTCCAAGTCTTTGTGTCCCAGTCTGTTTATGCTGGAGTGACTACAAAATAAGACACGGGGCTCAGGTGCTAGTGGGGACCAGCATGAATCCACCTTCTGGTAAATACCCTGGGAGTCCAGTGGAGAAAGGGCCTAATTCTCCCTAGGAAGTGTGATGCTCCTGTAGGTCTTTCTGTGAGGACGTCTGCAGAGTGAGCAGGACTCTTGGCTTTAACAGAGGAAAGGAGATGCCAGGCAGAGGGAGCAGCAAGTGCCCAGCCACAAGGGCAGGGAGAAACACCGCCCTGAGGTGGCTGTGCGGGAGTGATGTGAAGGGGCCAAAGGCGATGAGGCCGCACGGGGACGAACTGCCCCAACACGAAAGCCTTGTGTGCCCTGCTGAAGAGCTTGGACTTTGTTCTATAGGCAGAGGAAACTATGGAGGTGGTCTAAATGGAGAAAGGATGGGATTGGACTTGTGTTTTAGAAAAATCATTCTTTTGAGAATTTGAACAATGGACAAGAGTGGGATAGAAACTGGAACGGGAAATTTGTCAAGGTGGAGAGAAGACAGATATGAGAGACATTTGGGAGTGGATCAGATCCTGGGGTGAAGCAGAGGAAGTGATTTTCAGGGCCTAGGACTCTCAGCTGGGTTAGTCAACACCACCCTGAGGGACTAGAATAAAAAGAGGTT